CTCCAAGCCATCGACTCGCAGCTTTAACATCTCATTTTACTTAACACTGCTTGGTCCATCGATGAGGTGCTATCGATATCTGTTTGCATGAATCCAAATTCCTCCAACGCTAATCTTTGGGTCTCGATCCCTAGCCTCTTTTTCTCTACTGACATAGCTTTCGTGGTGACCTGTTACTTAAGTTGAAGCTTCTCTGTCTCATAATCATTCAACTTGTTATGCAGGTAAGAAGCTCACCAAAATATGTTGACCCCTTCTTTGGTTTATCTCTATCCATGGCCTTATGGTCTCCGTAATTGGGATTTCATCGTCGCATTTGTCAAGGTCTTCAAATGGGTAACATGTTTCTCATGCCCCACCGACTCCACACCCAGCAGTCTAACAATGGAAGCGAAGGCGAGAGGGAAGCTCTTTATTCGGTAGAAAGATCTGTTGGGACCTTTGGCTCTAACCCCCCTGAAACCTAGCTTATCCGAATTAAATTAAAAAATAATTAATTAATTATTAAGACAGACCTAGAGTTATTTTAAATATTCGTTAATAAAAAAATAAAAATATACCGTTGTATAGGGTTTGACGAGACGAATTCAACACTGCAAACAGATCTGAATTCAGAACAAGTTGGCCCAAAAAAGATATTTTAATCGAGGTTCATTAATTAATTACGAACTACAACATTTTATGAGTATATAAGTACCCCACACGCCTAACCACATACACGTAACTCTCTCTCTCTCTCGTCTCTAAATCAGAATAGAGCAATGAAGGAAAGAACAGCGCAAAGCAGTGAGGAGGAAGAGAAGAGGAAGAAGAATGAAGGAAGAAGAAGAGAAGTTGTTCCATCACCGTCATTCGTTAGGTCTATCTCTCGTAGCTTCTTTCATCGAATTCGAAGTGAGTACGTGGACATATAATGTTGGGTTGTAATATATATTTCAATCTTACGTTTGTAGAATCATTATGATTGATTTATGTGAAACTTACATGCGTTAGTTCGTTTGGATTATGAATGATTTTATTGGGTAGAACGTATGAATAGGGATGTCTTCAATCATAGTAATGTTGGGTATTATTAGGAATCAATCTATGAACATATTGGTGAAGAATTATATGGGTTTGGTATTAGTTGTTGCTGGTAAATCGAATTGTTGCAGGAGCGAGAGTTATTACCACATGTCATCTGGTAAATCGAATTGGTAGTGAGGTACCGGCCTACCGGTACCTCGATACAGCCACAGGCCAATATTTGCTGGCAGAACCTGCGATTGTTTGGTACCCAATTACTGGACAGAGGATAAACCATATCACTAGAACGGTAGTTGGCTACCGCCACAGGCCATCTGGCACTAGCAGACTCTGTCCGAGCTGGTAACTGAATTCGTCTACCCAGGTACCGTAGCGGTACTCACGTACTGGACTAGGTACCATCTAGTACTGATGCTTTGTCTATAAGTTTGTGTTTATGTCAAGGATTATTTTGAGACTTTATATATTGTATGACAGTAAACATGATTGCTTACACCCAACGCTAGGCATATGTTTGATCACGTTTGGTTATGTTGGATATGATTATGCTTATTGTATATGTTTTACAATTATGAATGGTAATGTAACAATGAAGTAATATATATCTAGAGGAACTTTAAGATTTGACCTAAATGAAATAGAGGCAAGTTATGCCATAAGTGTAGAAAGGTCCTGCTGGGTCCAATGGCTATTTGGGTATAAATTTGCACACGGGGAGGTATGAAATGTGATTCCAAAGGGGACAAAGATTTCATCTACCCAACAAGAAACTCCTGAGTTGGTTGAGCGTGACCTTCATTCCGAAGGAGAAGGTCATGACTTCATAAGCAAGTTAGAGTTAGTATAAGCCTTAACCTGGGATAGGTTATGAGCCCAGTAACTATGTAAGTAACATGACCAAAGTAAAGAGAATATATTATCTTCCATTGTGGTAATGTTCAATATTTCATAATGTTTGTGGTGCTTCCATGTTATGGTATGTGCATGATATCGTGTGATGTTATGGGCTAGTTATATCATCTATACGTATAACTGAATGTTAGATAATTCCCACTCGACTTCAATGTTGAGCGTGTAGCGTTTGTTCTTATGCTTTACGTAGGTAATCAAGATCATGATGAAACTAGAACCAATCCTGAAGGGCGATGTGGACGAGGAGATGTGCATTGATGTGTTTGAGAATTTTGAATTATTAGGTATCATTTAATGGCTTAGACTTTACGGGCTTGATTCCCGATTTTTGTTCCAAATAATGGTTTCAATTTCCGCATCATTTTTAATTACTCTCATAAATGTTGAAAATTATACCTTGAGTTTATTTATTCTAATTTTTTTGTAGAAATGAGTTGTTTTTGGATATCAATTTAGTAGCAACCCGGTTGGCTAACCTGAGTATTCGGGTTATGCGGGTTGGGGTGTTACATTGTCAGTAGAGTTTGTTTATGTAGCAATTCGAAAAAAACAAAACAAGAACCATATCAAATTAAAGCTTGCACATAGTACTTGCACTCTTGAAGAGATCATATGTTTGGTATAGTTATCTCTCCTAGATCTCTCTTGCTTTGCCAATTGTTTAACACCCACCGATAAAAAGTCATGGATAAAACTTTCAAAATGATGATAAAATAGGAGAATATAATGTAGGGGTGCACATGGTACGGTAATTAGCTCGTACCAAATATTTCAATTCGGTATGGATTTTACATCACACCGATGGTGATGCCAAAGCATTTGTTTGGTATGATTCTGGATGGTTCAATATTCTTTTAGGTAAAATATGGGATGAATATATATACATACGTAGTTTTACACTTAAAAATGTAACAAAACCATTTTTTTAAAAAATAAATTACGTTTAAAAAGGGAAAGATAAAAAAACTAAAAATTTAATTTTGTTCTGTTCGTAGATGCCAAAATGTTTTGGCTCATTTTCTTATTAAAAAGATTGAGATTTGTGTTAATGTGTGGGAGTCTAGCCCACTAGACTTTCTTGTTTCCTTTTTGACTAATCAATGAATTTTTTTGTTTGTGTTTGAACATCGAAATGGCATATTTTTGTTCACCACAAAGAAACAGTACAAAATACATCACAAAAAGGAAACCCTCATCCTATGCAGCTCTTCAAATCCCTAAACATTGTATATTGAAATTTAATAGTATTACCTATCTTTTGAACTTGGACTACTTTGTTGTGTTTTTTTCAGTTCCTTACTCTCAAAATATAATAGCATGAGATTGTCCACCCAGCCAAAACTTCTATTTGTTTCCTTCTTGGAGATATCTTCATAATACACTACCATGTACTAATCATATCATATGCTTTAGTATTGATCTTCATCCAAAGTAAAAATCTCCTTCGGTATCTCTTGGGCAAAATCACATTTGCAAAAAAGGCGGGTGGTATTGTCCTCACCCTTTTGGCACAGATTACAATCCGTCTCCACTTTCATAAGTTTTGCCAGTCGTACCTTAGTCAGGATTCTATCTCGCATGATTAACCACATTATAAATTGATATTTAGGCAATGTGAATTTATTATAAACCTAGCCAATCCAAAAGTGGTTTATGATCAGTACATAGAATCCATTCATATCCTTGATGTAAAACATAGCAATGAAGCCCTAGCATGCCTACGAATACATTTCTTACCTTGATCATCTGTTTCTAGTAATGGTAGCAGTTGGGTTTGGGGATGTACCCCCAAAAATCACCATTCTTGATGTATCTTGAGTGAATTCATTGAACCCAAAGAATATCTTTTTTATTATGGATATTCAAGTTCAATTTCATGATTGCAGCTTTGTTCCATATGTTACGATAAAGGTCAATGCCAGAGGGGGATGACGTTTAAATGAAATCGCACGAAATTCAAATGAAGTGAAAGGTGAGGAAAGAGCACACCGTTTTTATACAGGTTCACCATAACTAGTGGCTAATCCAGTCTCCCGAGATACTCTCTCGAAAGTCGTACAAACTCCATTAAGCATAAACGTTCTTAACAAACCGATACAACCTGATAACTCGAGTCACACGAGCGTCGACATGGCTTGCTCAGAGATACCGCACTCCAAGACTTTAATCGAAGGAACAAAAGCTTCCTTTGATACTAAACAAGGGGACAAACCTCCCTTCAAGTGATATGGAGCACTTAAGCACTCAAGAATAAGACTCTCTTTTAGATTAGATATGAGTAAGCTAAAGAGCGCTCAAGAACACGAGAATTTCTTCAAAAAATGGCTTTCAAAAGCTATGAAATATGAATATGATTAATGCAATGAAAAAGTATTGAGATGATGAAGAATTATGTGTAAAATGAGAGTTTAAGGCTCTATTTATGGGCTAAATAGAGGGGTTACCGTTGCTAATGGATCCAAGAAAATAAAGACAGAGATTTGTGGGATTTAAAAAATGATTTGCAGGAATCTTCCCAGAACATCGATGTTTTACCCTAAAGATTGCTGTTTTGGGCGTCCGAATAACGCCAACTAGATCTACACATATGATATGCTCTTTTTCTGAAAAATTACGTCCAAAATTCTAGTTAATTTGGCTTTATTTATCACCTATTTCCTTTATTTATCACCGTTCACTTATATGTGGACTAGTGGTTACCATTATGCATAGGTCTCTACAGAATGATATTTCATTACCAGGACGTGTGGGACGCCTAGCTAGTACCATGGTGATGGGCCGATATCCAGAGGACGGCCCAAATGAACCATTTAAACAGCTTCGGGTCAAGCACCTGTGAAATACTCAAGATGGGCCGGCCCAAGGAGCTGGGCCTAGTTAACCTTAGGCCAAGTGCAGCTGGCAGAGTCAGTCCGGAGAAGGAGACGGAGCTGATTGGCCGTTATGGAGCCGGGAAAAGGGGATCGCGCCCTTGGCGGGATAGATTCCATCGGTTATGCATTACCTTAATTGTTTAGAACTCATGTATAAATAGAGGGGACCCGAAAGGGGAGAACTCAAGGTAAATCAAGCTAGTAATACACATCCAATTCCCGAATTCTTGTTCTTAATTTTGTTCTTACGATCCGCTCTGTAAACCGGATCATTTGGTGGATTTATTGTCCATCAGATTGGTGCTCTCGTTGAGATTTCGAGAATCATACTCAGAAGAAATCCTCCACAACGACGATGGTGCAAACACGTAGCAACGCCAACATAGGTACCGGAGTTCCCCAACAGGGGGAGAACAGCGCCACCGGAGGCAGGCACCCCCCCATCACCACCGGGGAGGCTGAGGCCCTCATTCAGAGGGTTGGGATCTCGGCCGAACAATTCAAGGAGGTGCTGGCCGCACTTACGCCCAACCGCGAGGTTGTGGTAGGAGATGTGGCTGGGGGACCCACAGGCGAGAAGGCTGGACCTGCAGGCTCCCAAGGAAAAAGGAAAAAAGTGAGGCGGTCCCAAAAGAAGAAGGCGACCAAGCCTAATGGGAAGGCTATGATGGCAGATGCGCTTTCCAGGATGGAAGAAGAGGACGAGTCGTCCTCCTTCGAGCGGATGTCTGCTTTTGACCGTTTGGGAGACCCCAAGTCGAAGAAACCACGGACCTCTGCGTTCGAAAGGCTGCAGGACACTCGGTCGGCCCGAAAAGGCGACTTGAGAGACACGCTCAAGGAGAAGAGAGGGGAGTCCACAGCGACCTCCAAGGTCGGTTCTGAGGAGCGACGGACGATAGTCGGGGATAAGGGCGTAGCCGAGCTGTGGAAAATGTACGAACAACTGGAGAAGCGGCTGGATGCCCAGAACCCCTATCGCCAGGCGGTCTTCAGTGAGGTAACGCCCTTCTCCAGAAGGATAATATCCTGCCCTCACCCAGATAATTTCAAGACTCCCCAGATCAAGGCATACAACGGGACGACCGATCCCCAAGACCACCTCGCTCGCTTCGGGGCCAACGTGGTCATGTATGCATATCCAGAAGAAATCAAGTGTCGGTGCTTCCTGGCGACACTGGAAGGGCAGGCTTGTGAGTGGTTTCACAAGTTACCCAAGGGGTCGATAGATAAGTGGGGCGACCTGGCCCACAAGTTCTTGGAGCACTTCGCATCCAGCCGGAGACAAAAGCTCCCCTTCTCGCATTTGCTCAATGTGATGATCCGGAAGGGGGAACAGCTCCGGGAGTTCATTAATAGGTGGGAGAAGGAGGCTAGGGATGTCCAAGGGGCGGACGACCAAGCCCTGATCGCCATGCTCCAAGCTGCACTCCCCCAAGGGGATGTGCGTAAGGAGCTGCGACGGAATCCTCTCTCGACCTATCAAGAGATGTTGGCCAGGGCGAAGTACCTGGCGCTGGAAGAGGAAGATGATGAGCCACCAGTCCGGAAGGAGAAGAAAAGCGGGCCACCGGTGGCAGAAGG